GTTATTACTATCACCGGTTTTCCTACATTTCGCGATGGAAATTCAATTACGGTTTCACGGGTGTTCCAACATATCGAGCTCGATCTTCTCTCGCCTCCATCCTTAGAAATCCAACAACGGTTATTCTTGAACTCGGTGCAATCGCTCTCCTCCGTTTATGACGTTTAACAAATGACGAGAGGCCAGGAGGAGAATGGGAGAATTCGATTCGAGGAAAAATAGGAGGAAGGAGGAAATGTTCCATCAACGATTATTCGCCAGCGGATCAAACGTTCCGCTGCGCTTCCAATTACCCCTAATTTTTCTGCCACGAGTGACGAAGGAAAGACGAGGAAAGAAGGGAAGATATAAGGGATGTACATGTAAGAAGAGCTTTTCCTCGATTGTCGCCACTGCGTATCAGAGCCCTCCTCCCCTCTAGTTGGAATTCGATTCGAGTGAATGGAGATCTCGAAGAGTACTCGCGACAACAAGGTGTTCGTGGATGCAAAGTCGTAAATCTCCGGCCACTAATTGAAACGATGTCGAAAGAAGGAAACGATAACGCTGTCCTGGTTATCCGAGGAACCAAGAGTCTCTCCCGACCGTTCCTCCTCCCTTCCTCCCTTTCTCCTCGTTTTCTTTTCTTCTCTCTTCTGCTCGTTCCACTCGTGAGAAGCCGCGCTTATAGGTCTCTCGCCTCGGCGAAAGAATTCGTCGCTCGACACCGAGGTGAACGGTATTCAGTTTCAGTGGCGTTTCAGACGACGCCTCCTCGTTCTCGGGTTACGGTTGCTCCAGATGCCTGCCTCCAGAGAGTGTTCCCGTTTTTCGCTCGGGACGGCTTATTATAACCCTTTGTGCCCGCTAAGGCTTCTCCCCCGCCAAGGTTTCTGCCCCTTTTTGATTCGGGCGAAAGGAGGGCCGATCGATCCACCACTTGGTTCTTGCAAGAAAGAAAGAAAGAAAGAAGGAAAGAGGGAAAGAGAGAAAGGAAGGAATCTGAGGGAACGAGAAAAGACACATTCTCCGCTTTTATTTTCGCTTCGAACGCCTCTGCACTTTCCCCTTCTGTGTGCACGATGGAACGCGAGTCGAAGCTGCGCCATTCATTCGCGAAACCTCTCCAGCCAACCAACCACCCTTTCAACTGGAAATAGAAACGCGATCGTTCGAGATATCGCTGCTTTTTCGGGGAAGTTCAACAAGTTCCTTTTTTTTTTTTCGTTTCTTCTTCGATACGAACGCGCGCGCGCGCCATCGAACGTGGACGTAATTTTTTTCCCTTTTTCCTTTTTTCTTTTTTTTTTTTTTTGCGAGCGTGAGTCCTTTGTGCAAGCATTCTGCAGAGGAGTGGATCTAAAGCGTTCTTTGATCGTCTTTTAAGGGTCAAAGGGATTTTTAACTCGAGTGATGTTAGCGCGAAGCTTTATGACGCGGTACTTAATTGTCTTGAGACTAATACGAAATATTTTATATCTTCTTGAAACTTGTATATGTACTTTATTTATTTTTATCGTATCCATATTAACAGATACACTCTGCTTAATCTACTCGAAGGATTCTTAAAAATTCTTAAAAATTCAGATAGAATTATCATACAATAAATTTCTGTTGGATTATCGTCTTTCTTCATCGATTTACGTTCCCGTAAATAATAAAGTCCGACCGTATATTCGCTTCTTATATATCCGTTCGACAGAAGCGAAAATAATATTCCTCTTTAATTCGATCCTCCATCGACGAACCAACCGTTTCGCTTCGTCCGCGTACAAGCTATTTAACAAACGGGCAATCGTTCGGCCTTTTTTGAAGTGTTAAAAGTCGATGAAAATCCGGTGAATGTTGTTGTTTGAAACGATTGAACGCATTGCTCGATTCTCTCGCGTCATCCGGTAAAATTCATAGGAAATTGGAAAACCGAACGCAGGTATCCGTAATCCTTTCCGTTAATTCCGTTGATCCGTAAATCCTGACGTTGGCCAATTATCTTCTTTCGCGGGAACTTTTATCGGGCGGCACGATCAAAACGATTATTTAAGCGTCAATTCATGAAACATCTCGTTAGCGGAGTTCGAGCGTTCCCCAGACCGCAACGGTACCCTCAAATTAGAATATTATATTCCAGGTTTATAACGAACATGCATCAAGCACTGTAATTACGAATCCCAGGATGCGTATAATTATACATAGTTTCGTTTTAATCTGCGAAACGTTCCCGAAATTGCCGTCTCCGGAACGGAATCGAATTACGTTCACATCGCGCACGTGTAATTTCGTATTTTCCTCAAACTTTCCGTGCATTGTTCAATTGAAACGAAAAAGGGCGGGAATGGGGGGAAAAAAGAAAAATGATTTTATTTTATTTTATTTCGAGTAAAATCACGTTCCTCTCCGCCACTATATTCTATAAATTTTCTTTCTTCCATCATTTTTATTCCTCGTAAAAATCTCAATATTATACGCTCGCGAATATATGTATATATGTATATTGTACTTTAACTTCGTATCGCGCTTGTGTTGAAGTATGGTGTATACTTGGTGCGCGTACAAATGGCGTGTTGAAATCGACAGGAGGCTCTTTAGGTATTTATTTGTAAGCCCGAGTATATAAGCACCGTGAATTCTCGTGTTGTGCCATTCGGAGAGACCTCGACAAACCGCCACTTAAGCGGAATGCCGGAGGGGTAGTTTCGTTTCCCCGTGTATTCAATTAGTACACCGCACGAAATATCAATTCCATTGCTCGAAAGCTCCTTCGACGTTTTCGAGTATGGGGGGGGAGCGGTAGGGGAATAAGAGGATACTTTCCAACGACCGCAGGTACTCGTTGCGCCCAGTTACCGAACGCTGTTAATCTGTAGAACTTCTGTGCTCTCCATTCTGTTTATCAGTTGCCATTTTAATCGGCGCGCATTTACATGCTCTTTATGCGCCGGTTATTGTTGCTAAATCTGCGGTTATTTATCGATATCGAGCTACTCGATTTTTCCTCCATTTTTTCTATTTTAATTTTTCTCTTCCTTCCTTCCCTTTTTTTTTTTTTTTTTTT